ATTGATAAAGAAATAATATAAGCTAATTATAAAGAATAATGGAGAATGTATTTCATATTAATTTTGTTTAAATAAATTTATCTATTTCTAAACATCAAATAAAAAAATTTTCACATGATTTAATATAATAATCATAATATAGTAATGAATAAAAAATTCCAGTTTTTTTTGGACCAGACTATATCTTTAAGCTTATATTAGATTTAAATAGTAATAAATTATTTTTCAAATTATATTAGTTATACTATATTTTACTTATAATATAATAAAAGAATAAATATATATAAATTATTATTAAAGCTTTTAATTTCATTTTTTTTATATATTTAATAAATTAAAGTTATATTTATCTGCTTTAATATGATAATTTCTTAGAATAAATATTCTTCTTGTCAAAAAGTATAAATATGAACATATTTTTTATGAAAAATTCAAGATATTGAAAATTAAAATTTTATTTTAGGTATTATTAGAAATATTATTTAGTTTTCTATCTATTATCAAAATAAAAAAAGATACTTTTATACTTATCTTTATGAGTCTGGATTTTTTCTTTTAATTTAGTTGTATCATATAAAATATAGAACACTAAAAAAAATAAAAAAATTATTATGTAAAAAAAATAATAGATGAAAATAAAATTTATATTGATTAATAAATAGTATTTTAATAAATAAAATATTATTTATCTTTAACTTCATATAATTTTTTAATAGTGAGATATTAAATCTTGTCAATGTTTCATTTCTTTCATGAGTTACTATAATTCCAGAATCAAGTGACTCAGTATAGTTTTCAAGTCATGTGACTTAAATGATCGATATCTAATTGCTGATTGGTCTAAAATAGACTGATTAACATCCAAAAATAAAAATTCATAAAAGTGAACATTTTTAAACTTAAATAACTTTACAAAATACTAAATAATTAAAAAAACTAAATCATGAATCTGAAAGAACATCACAAAATTATCATTCTTACAGTTTATATTTTAAATATTACCCAAATTAGAAGACTAGATATATTTAGAAGTTATACAAACTTGTTTGATGCTTATAGATGTTACGCACCATAACAAAGCTGTTAAATTTTTTTCGCACTATATACTTCTAACCTTATTCAATATTCTATATAACCACCCTTTGCTTTTATTACCTCACTAATCCTTTTTGTACAATTTGGAACAATAATCGAGATCTATGCTCTTTCACGCCACTTGCACAACTGTCTCATCCGCAAATCCATCTCATTCCATAAATTTTCTATGGGATTTAGGTCGGGAGACTGGGATGGCCAGTCTAGCAAAGTGATCTCGTTGTCGGCAAACCATTGCTTTGCTTTTCCAGAGACATGTTTTGATTCATTATCACTATCTTCTAGTCCCTTCTTCTAGAAGATTATTTGTTAGGATTTCCACATAGCCATCCGCATTCGTTTCTCCTTTTTCTCAACTCACCAACATCGTCGTCCGTCACGCAACCTCAAACCATAATCGAACCACCCCAAATTTGACGGTTGGCGTAATATGCTGGTCTTTTAACTGACCACCGGGTTTCTTCCGGCAATACTTTCGGCCATCCGATCCGAAAATTTGGTATTTGCTCTCGTCAGGCCAAATTACGCATCGCCATTCGTCAGCCGTCCAAGTTCGGTATTTTTTCACCCAATCCAACCGTCGTTTTTTGTGTGTTCGTTTGGGGTAAGTTTTATGCGAGCGAATAGTCCGACCAACTCATTTTTAAGCTCTCGTTGGACCTCGACAGTAGTGGAACATTTCCGGAATGGATTAATCGGCACGTGTTTCTTTCGTAGCGTGACGAGAGGATGGGGGGCGACCGGTTTTTGGCTTGTTGTCGAAGCACCCAGTCTCTTCCTATTTTTCATATCCGGTAGACGGAGGCCCGGGTCTACTTGTTCCGATGCTGCGACTTCTCGCATCGAATATCTTTCTTTCCGAAGCGCGTATATACGGGCGCGTTTCTCTATAGGGATTCTAGGCATAACTATGAAAAATGGATTAATTTGTTTATTAGAATGTGAAGATTTATTTTTTTAATTTACAAACAATCAAAAGCGTTTGTACTTATCTATAGCCCTTCCGTCCACCTTCCCGTTCGGTCGTAATAAGTGCAAAGCTAAAAAAGGATAAAAAAGTTAATACATCTTTAATTAAAAGATAGAAGCGAATGAATTTTGATATCATCAATACACTCACCTTTTGGTTGTCCAGGTTCTCCCTACGGCGAGATATTCGTATCTCGCCGTTTTTTTCCGTGTTGCGTTTCTTTTGTGAGCACTGTATTGACAAAATGATGAATTTCGCGAATCCTGCAGCTGGCGCTTCTAAATTATTACATATAAAAAACAAACAAATAAATATCAAAATGTTCAAATACACATAAAAAATTCATAAAAACCTGCAATAAATGAATCAAAAAAATGTGACAAAAAATCCAAGCATCTTGATCTTTATTCGAATGCTTAAATTAAAGGATTGATCAAAACTATCTGAGAAATCAAGAAATTTAGTAAAGATAACAAATTTTATCAAACCTGCTAAGATAATTGAACTAAAATTTTGTATATTCACAAAAATAGCATTTTGAATTTTCTATTGCTGTAAATACATTCTTCTGCTTGATTGAACTCTAAAGTTCATTGAATCAAAGGATTGTGAATGTTACAAGGGTTTAAAGCAAGATTAAATAGTGGATTTTACTAGAATTCTAAGGATCTCCTATGTTAATCTTCATGAAATTTGTGAATTGAAGGGCAATTTGTTAAAGAAAAGGCAAGATAAAGTATAAAATATAATAATTTTTAATTCAAAGTACAAAATATTACTCAATTATTAATAATATATGACTTTAATTCAGATAATACAAATAGTTATTCCACTTTTACTAAATAAGTATCAAAAAAATATTTCAATAACTTGAAGAATTCAAACAAAATTTAGAATTAGACATAATTCAAAAACTTTATTTGATTAAAGTAATAAAGTATTTGATTTGTTATGCATAAGAAGCATTAAAGCAATTGATTTATTTAGATACAAAGATATAAAAGTCAAGTAATTTTAGATAAGAATTAAAAATATTTATTTTTCTTCAAACTATACAAAAACTTGTCTCTTAGACTTGTGAGAGCTATTCTTTATATTTAGTTTCAATTTATAAACTTATGATTTTATTATTTGAATGATATTTAGATCTGAGATAAAAGTACAGAATAGAAAAAACTTATTTATAACAAAAAAAATAAATATGAATATAAATAATTTATAAATAAAATATATATGAGTTGAATAGAATTAATTAATTTAATTCATATTTTCAGAAAGTAATTAATCATAATTTAATAAATTATAAATAATATAAATAATAATATAAATAATAAATAAAATTATAAAGAAAATATTGAGTAAATTATTAGTAAAAAGTACATGGCTTTGCTATCAGTACAAATAATAATAATAAGAAAATTAATTGTAATAAACAAGTAAATAATTATTATTTAAAAATAAAATAAAATAATAATTCAAAATATGAACTTTATAAAATTTTCATTAAATTAAGAAAGCAATATATGATATGAATATTTGTGAATTTCTATTTATAATCACATTACTTGGAATGCAAAACAGAAATATTCAGGAAGAATTCATGTTATTAGAGAAGATAATGTCACTTGTTAATATTACAAGTAATAACTTTTATATGAATTTTGCATGGCAATATAATATTGATGCTACAAGAATTTTTGCAAGAATTTCGAAAAATTTTGATTGGTTCACCTGATATGGAATAATAATGTTAATTATTTATTAAGAACAGCAATAATATTACCTTGCATTGGTTTAGAATTTCATGATCACAGAATAGTCAGTATTTATTACGTCTTCCTTTATTTAGATATAACTTCAATTAAGTAAGTTAGACTGAATTATTTACAATTAAAGAGACTTTTTAATGTTCTAGAAATTTCCTGTGGTGACTTGTATGCAAATTGATCTTAAATAAGATTTTAGTGACAAATATTTTTTGAAGATTTCTGATTAACACAACAAAAGACGAGTTAGCAGGACTTATTAACATGGTCCTGAAAAGCAATAATTCCAACAGTTTTAGCTAACAAAAACTAACGTGTTCAAAATCAATGGTTGGACTTAGTTTCTGCCAAAAATACAATATATAAATTCGAAATATAATTTTGTTTATAATGAAGGTCATCTACTACTTGACAGAAGATAAGATTTGAAGTTAAATCAGTGAAAAAGAACTTGGTTGATCAGGTACTAGGGCAGTTGTTAAGTTTATCATTTGACAAATTTGACAAAAGCTAAATCATGCTAAAAAGGATAAAAATGAATATTAAATAAATATCAAAAGTCATGGGATAAAAATGATGCAAGAGTTAAAAATAAATGTTAATTAATACATGTAGATATATCGAAGTTTGACTCTCAAACTTTGAGATCTAAGCTTTGATATCATCTAGATAGCATTCCAAAACCAGGTTAAAGAAAACGTTGCATTTGCTTTTTTACATTTCCACTTTTACATTTATTTTTTTTATTTATTTTATTCATTTATTTTTTTCATATTTTCACATTTTATTTTTTTAACTTGTATTAAACATACTATAGCATTTAATTCATTTCGTAGAAGCTGCTGAAACGGTTGTTGCTTCTATGGCGGCTAATTTTGCATTCGTAAAAGCAAGGTTGGGCTCTCCCACTTTATATGTTGATGTAGTGATGTTATCCCAATATTCGTAGTCGTCCTCTTGATTGTCCTTTCCGTATCTTCTTCTTCATCTGAAAACTTCACGACAAAGTTCTTAATTAATTCCTTATCCTTTCCTTTTCTGCATACGTGCAATCTTTCGTCCTGCTATATTACTCGGATCTAATACATTTATTTCCGGAATCCGAATTGGTAGCTGCCTTCTGTGGCAGGCATGCATTGGCAGCTTGTTGTGATTGTAATGCATTAAATCTAATTCTGTTCGTTGCTGTTGGAATGCATTAAATTCTGTTTGTAAAAAGAAACAGAATTTTTAATTTTAATGCATTCCAACAGCAACAAACAAAATTTAGATTTAATTCATTCCAACAACAGGAATTAAACTCATTAGGTTGGAATGCAATTGATTGCATTGGCAGATCTATGTCCATTGGTATAATTTGCGATTCAAAACTTGAAGCTTCATCAGTTTTTTCAACAGCTTTTTTCGCCACCAGCCGCATCTGAAGGTGTTGTGATCATTATTATTGCAGTTGATGTGATTGATGATTGCTTTGATTTCTTAATGGTGGTGTTAGCGAAGGCGAAATCATATGAAAATAATTTGTCGACTCTTCTACTTTAGTTGTTAATAAAGATGGAGATTTACTGTCGCGATTGTTATTTACTTATCATTTTCTTCATCTGAATAAATATTTACAATACTATTACATGATAATCTCTTTCTTTTGATAGTCATCTCATTCTTCCTCTTTTATCTGATATTAACGCTAAATGATTTAATTTCTTAGAATTTGTAGGTCTTTCAGCCTCTGTGATAATTGAATTATCTTCAATTTTACATGAGGCTTCTTTTCTCGAGCTTGAGCAACTTCATCTTTCTTACTAGGTAGTGTGGGCATAGCATCTAGAACCATATCAGGAACTTCCAAAGTAGAAGGTGAAGATTCTGGTGTTAATCTCTCTGTGTAATACCGAATATTGCCAATGGGATCATCATTAGAGGGTCAAGAACTCTATACTTTGCTCTGTATGTAGTAAATTCTGACTTATTAAATTTCGCTTTTGATCCCGTATCATCTTCACTTTCGGTATCATCTTCCTCACTTTTTTAGGTAGTAATTTTTTCATACTTAGATTTGCTATTGTCCTACTTGATCAGAATATTTTGATGACGGATCGATTTTCTTTTTCTTTTGTTCTTTTTTTCATTTCCGCTCCTCAAGCCCTTCCCTCATGTTAGTAATACACCTACTTGTTCCATCAACCGCTACTTCAGAATACTTCGATAAAGGCGGACCGATTTCTTTTCCTTTATCCTTTTCTTTCTTTTCTCCATTTCTATCTCAATCTCAGCCTTCTTCTCCATGTTATTAATAGTAGTGGTAGTAGCAGTAGTAATCTTCGAGGTTTGTGTTGAGGTGCTATCCGTTTAGTGCTTGTGTCGATTTACTACTTACACCAATAGAATCTGTTTGCGTGACGATTGAAACGGCAGCTGATCGAGTCGAAACTAATTGAGGCTGAACTGATTCCTCACAAGAAAGGTGACTTGGCACACTAAACATGCGATATAGTTAAACAAATTGCATCGTTACCCACTCCTTAATATTTTGCATTAGAGGATATTGATGATTGTAATGATCATTATGATGGTGAGGTATATCATTATTATTATGAAATGTATTTCTATTTTGATATGGGGCTGCATCGATATGCTGACGAACATGCCTAACGTCACTATGTTACCGCCGCCGAAGTTACTAGGATATAACCACGAACATTGTCAAGCATCGCTTGTTGAAAATAATTATACATTTTAACTCAAAATTTAAGCATTTGTGCTAGAAAATTTTTTTCTTTATTTTGCGATTTATATATATATACATATATATATATGTTTATTGGAACTCTCAATTTTTTGGGGTCTACGCCAACCCTATCATACTATGATGTACGTTTACAAGAATATTGCAGCATGATTCTATTTTTCACAACGATCGTTTTACAAGAAATAATTGGCGTAGCTGCTTATATTTTTCACAACGATCGGTTTTACAAGAAAATCGAAATTGGGGCTTGTCGAATGACAAAATTTAAATTATATGTTTGCATACTGTGTCGATTATGCCATCACACGTGATTTCTACGTTACATGTATCGTAGTTTGTTATGACATTCGTTGTATATTTGATATGCGTATAATAAGTGAGACCTCGCACTTGGCTGGTGATTATACACATATAACAACTGCAATGATTTGGCAAATACATGTAACTCGAAATTTTATTATCTAATTTTTTATGTGAGATCACGAAGACGTCATCCGACAACCCAATTTAGAAGTTGCTTATAAAACTGATCGTGTTGTGAAAAAAATAGAATCATGCTACACTAATTTTTCACGTTTTATGACATATCAATTTATGTGATAACAATCATCTTGGCACAAGCATTGTAAACATAAATCATATTATTGGGGCGTAGCCAATAAATATATATATAAATCGCATCAATCGCATCTCAAAATAAAGAAAAAAATTTTTTTTTAACACAAACTATTAAAATTTACGCAAAAATTAAGCGACGCTTGACAGTGTTAGTGGTTATAGCCTCTTCGTAAGTTTGAGTATCCCGGAAATAAGTAATAACTTCAGCGGCGGTGACGATGCAATTTGTTAAATTATACCGTATGTTTAGTGCTCCAAGTCAACTCTCTGTGAGGAATCAGTTCAGGCTCAATTAATTTCAACTCGATCAGTTACCGTTTCAATCGCCACGCAACAGATTCTATTGGTGTAAGTAGCAACTCGACACATGCACTAACGGATAGCGCCTCAACACAAATATTAACGATTACTACTGCTACTACTATTAATATGGTGAATGAGATTGAAATAGAAATGGAGAAAAGGGTAAAGGAAAGGAAATCGATCCGCAATCATCAAAGTATTCTGAAGTAATTGTTGATGGATCAAGTAGGATAATAGCAGATCTAAATATGAAAAGATTACTACCTAAAAAAAGTGAGGAGTATGACACGGAACCAAAAGCAAAATTTGATAGGCCAGAATCTACTACATACAGAGCAAGTATAGAGTTCTCGACCCTCTAATGATGATCCCATTGGCAAGATTCGGTATTACACAAGGAGATTAACACCACAACCTTCACCTTCTACTTCGAAAGTTCCTGATACTACGGCCACATTACCTATGAAGTTGCTCAAGTTCGAGGAAAGAAAGTCTCATGATAAAATTGAAGACAATTTAATTATCACAGAGGCTGAGGGACCTAGAAATTAAATCATTTAGCATTAATATCAAATAAAAAGGAGGAGAATGAGATGACTACTAAAAGAAAGAGACTATCATGTAATAGCAGTGTAAATATTTATTCAGATGAAGAAAATGATAAGTAAATAACAATCGCGACGACGACAACAAATAGTTTTAGAAAATCTTCATCTTTATCAACAACTAAAATGGAGAATCAAAAAATCATTCTCATACGACTTCGCCTTCGATAACACCAAAAAATAAAAGCAATCACCAACTGCAATAGTGATGGTTACGATGCCTTCAGATGCGACTGGTAGAGAAACTGTAGAAGTTTCATCTTCTATACTTTAAACACAAATGATACAAATTGGTATAAATCCGTCTCCAATGCAATCAGTTACATTACCTTTACAAATGCAGCAATCAACAAGCGAAACATTATTTAATACTCTCCAACCACAACAAGTACCAACCAACGCATTTGCTTTTCAACCACAACAATCACCAACAAACGAATTTGGATTTTAGTGCTTTCCAACCACAAAAACCACAAGCGCCAACCAACGCATTTGGATTCAATGCTTTCCAACCACAACAATCACAGCAACAACCATCAACTAGTGAAGTTGGATTGTGTTAGTTGGTATTTATTGTGATGGTTGTGGTTGGAGAGCATTGAATCCAAATTCGTCGGTTGAAGCTTGTGGTGGTTTTTGTGGTTGGAAAGTACTAATTGGTTTTAGTGATTTCCAATCACAACAATCACCAACAAATGAAGTTGGATTTAGTGCTTTCCATCCGTGACCACAGCAACTATCAGCAAACGAATCTGGATTTCCATTTTTTCCAACCGTAACCACAGCAACTACCAGTAAACAAATCTGGATCTAGTGCTTTCCAACTACAACAAACAGCACCTAGTGAATTTGGGTTTAATCCTTCAACTGGTGTTCTCTTGATAACATTTAATCAAAATCAAAAACCTTGCTACCGAAAATAATGCATTATTAGATCCAACGACTACAAATAATGTGGCAAGGCGAAAGATAGCATCGCTGCGTAAAAGGAAAACACTAGAAAAAAAGGCAAAGGACCTGAACTTTACTTAAGTAACCCTTTCCAACCACCACAAGCACCAACTCATGAATTTGGATTTAATCCGCCAGCTGGTGCTTTCTTAACATTTTAATCAGAATCCAAACATAGTTAGAGGAAATAATGCATTATTAGATCCAACCAATATGAATAATGAGGAACTGATACGTAAAAGGAAATGTTATGAGGGCATGAACAGCAAACAATGGAAAACAAAGGCAAAGAACCTCAACTTTATTATTTAAGTCAACATTTAAAATGTACCATTAAATAGAGCAGGTTTTGCTAATTCTAATCATATAAATTTTATTTAAAATCAATACGTAAATTCTTTCAAAAATGTCATTTCTAGTACATGTAGATCAATTTTTATAAAAAAGATATACATGAACCTTTACATGTACTTGTGCGTCGATCATTTTATTCCGGTGCATTTGTCGTAATTTTCTGCTTTGCACGTGTAAGTCAATTTGCAGAGAGGGATGCTAACGACTCAACTCAACTTTTACCGATTATGAATCAGAGTTTATTCAAGCTAAAAATCGCTCACATATATATATATATCATACATACATTCAGATCTCCTAAATGCATTTAGAGAACAATAAGAAAAATTGCATTTATGGGGGTTAAATATTTATCTGGGCCAGAGTTTGAGCTTGCATTAAGAGAGATATTGCATTTGGGGAGGTTGTATTTAAGGAAATCTGACTATAGTTAAATTACGTAAAGAAAACTAAGCTTTCGTGTATAAAATTGAATTTTCGGGATGCAAACTCTGTTCCAAATATATAATCAACCTCCATAAAAATGCAATTCTCTAAATGCACGGTGTCAAAAAAGTGGGCCCGAGGAAGTTGCATTTATGGAGGTCTGACTGTACATAAATTTGCAAAAAATCGTGAACAGGTAAACTTAAAACAATTCAATAAAAAGCGAAATAATAATACAGTATTAATGATAGTATCTATAACTATAAAATATTTTCATCCACATTAAAAATAATTGTTCATAAGAACTGAACTTGCTTGAACTACAAAAAATTTCGTGCTATGTTAGACAAGAATTCGTTTGATGCATTTTTCACCTATTAAAGGTTATCGTTGATGTCGTTGTGAGGACATTAAATATTATAGAAAATTTTATATTTAATCATATGATCGACACAAAGTTAGTCAGCTTTCAGACTTTTTTAAAGTCGGTCGAGTCGTTAGCATCCCTAATTGTACAATTTATCGTAGGACTTCTCGGATCATACCATACTCGTGTGATTTCCAACTATACTTCTATACCATACATTTTTTATCATAGAACTCATAAACACTCTACCCACGTGATGAGGGTGCATTACGGGATATACGTATTGACGCTATTTTATGTATTTTAACAAATTGAACGAATGAACATTCGTATCAAGCGTGCGTTGATGGTATTCAGGGCAGCCACATGGGAAAAGAATAAATCTCTGAGTTTCAGAACTGGTATATCGAGATGTTTACAGCAAAGTGCAGGGTTAATTGGCTAGCTTGCTGCTTTAGCAAAAATAAGAATCAATGTTTTAAATTTAACAAGAATAAAGAAAAAAAAATTAAAATCGAACATATTTTGCAGTCACAACATAATAATACGGAAGAACAGTTATCATATGTCTATTGTTGAAATGTCTCATTTTGTCTCTTTGGTTGAATTTCTAGTTGTGGTTCTGATTAGTTATTATACTATGTATAATTGAATAGATTATTTATAAAATAACAAGAAATAAGTACTGAGAATCTAGTTTCATTAATATGCTTGCCGTTCATTGGATCTTTAAGGGGGGATAAAAATTATATCACTGACTATTTTTGACCAGATTTAAATATTCTTTAAATACCTTTTCGAGTAGTTACAATCACTTAATGTTATACATAATCATTTTACTTTTAGAAAATAATGTTTGTCATCGATTCTCTACAATTAATTGTAGGATCGAAAACATATCGATTTTTAAACTTGATTACAAAATACACGTACAAATCCAATATCTGATACAATCCAAAATCATTCAATCATATTGAAAGAGAAATTAAGCTGCTGTTAATAGAATTTTATAAAATAATATTTATTGACAATAATTCTTTTTGATCGATAAAGAAACATGCATCTATAGTCATTACAAAGGTAAAAGCTGATTTGTAATTAACATAAAAACTTCAAATATAATTTCAGTAAACTCTAGAAACATACTTGTGATTTTTCAAATACACTATATTTCTTTTGAAATCTGTACCATACATTTTATCATAGGACTCACTCAATTTCGTAAAGAATTAGTTCATGACATTCACACGATTTGCCATATTCACACGATTTGTCACATGCAAAAATTAAAGCATATGATATCAATTATACTTGTGAATTTTTTGTCCAAAGTCTTAATCAAATACATAAAGTTTCCTAAAACAAAAATTAATGTTGAGTTTTCTATAAACCAAACAATATGAAGATCATAAAAAACTAACATCTCCTGTAAAATGAAACACCATTGAATTGACATTTATTTTGCTTATTTTTGCTAGATTATTTTTCAGTTTACAAATTCTTGTCATAAAAAGTGATTTACCAGACATATTCAAATAAGAATCTTCTATAAAGTTTTATCTCAAGAGATTAGTATATTTTACTATTATTATTGCAAATCTTATTAATAAAAAAGAGTTGATCAATTAATATTAAGAAGATAAATATTTTGCAGAAATATTAGAAGCTTTGCAGAACTTTAGTAGTATAATATCAAAATCATATATAAAAACTAGATACTTTAAATTAAGAAAAGATTTATTTTATTTGAAGAATACCAATCTCATAATTATTCCAGATAATAAGATATTGAAAGTAAAAATTTCATTTAAATTTCATGATGTATGAATTATAAAATATGTTATAATTGACAAGATATATATAGCTATTTCTTAATAATTCTACTAGCTCAAAATGAATAAATATATTTACAAATATATTACCAGTTATGAATCTTATCAATGTAATAAAAGTAGTAATTAATAAATCTCAGAACTCAAATATTACAAACATATTTTTTGAGAATATCTTTAAGTTATATAGTTTATTCTCAATAATTATTTCAGATAGAGATATCAAGTTCACTAGCAAATTTTGAAAGTTATTTTTTAAATAAATTAGAATAAAATTAGTAATATCAATAATTTTTCATTCATAGTTAGATAATTAAATAAAAAGATTAATAGAACTTTAGAAGAGATGCCTAGAATTTATATAATATATAAATAAGATTAATAAAATAAAAATCTAGTAGTAGTTAAATTTGTCTATAATAATAGTAAAAATGCTTTTACTAGATATATATTATTTGAATTAAATTATAAATAAATATCTTATACTTCAATTGTTATTCTCTTATTATAGAATAATATCATAATTTATTAAGAATTTATAAAATATTAAAATATTATAATAAAGATTACTAAAGATTTATTACTTGAAATATAGGATAAATTATTAAAATATGTAAATTAATATAGAAAATATGAAGAATTTACTATTAAAGATCAAGTTTTTCTCTACTTATAATATAAATAATCCAGTTTGATAAATAAAAAATAATTAAAAAACTCAAATTAAACTCTTAAAGTTATTAATAAAATATTTATCACTTATAAATTATAATTATTAATTAATATAAAATTATATTTAGTATTTTATTTTTTATTTTTAAAAAATATAATTTAAAGAATAAATTTAACAGATATATATTATTATTAATCTCATTATCTTAGATAATAAAGAAGAATATGAAGTTAAAAATATTTTTAACAAAAGAATTTATTATCATAAACTTCAATATCTTGTTAAATATTCTCTTTATAATATTATTTAAAATCTTTAAAAAATTAAAAAATATTATGAAAAGATAAAAGTCTTTAAAAACTTATATACTTGAATATAATAAGAATATTATACTTTAAGTAGAGTAATATATAATAATTTTGATTATATTATATTTTTTAGTTTAGATCTTTATTTTATATTATTTATATTATATTTTATCTTTTATATTACTTATTTTTGAAAATTAATTTTATTAATTTAGCTAATTAATATTTTTAATTAGATTTCTTTAATTATTTCTTTTATATTTTTATTTATTCTTATTTATTATTATTTATTATTATTTATAATTTTTATTAATTTAATAGATTATTATTTATATTATTTATATTATTTATAATTTTTATTAATTTAATAGATTTTAATTTATAATTTTTCAAAGAATAAATTAAGTTAATTAATTATATTTTAATTTATATATATTTTAGATTAATAATTTATTTTATTTTCTATTTATTTTATTTTATATAAATAAGTTAATACTTTATTTTCAGATCTGAATAATAAAATTATAAGTATTATAAATTAAAAATATATACTTTATATTTATAATTATAAATAAATAATCTTATAAATAAAAGATAATAATAATTTAAAAGTAAGATAGAGAGATAAGATTTTAATTTTTTATTTAATTATAATAAAAATAAGTTTTATTTTTTATCTAATATTTACTTTTATTTTTTTTAAATTAAATTTAAGCTAATAAAAGTTTATGAAAAATAATAATATAAAATTATAATATTTATTTATAAATTTTAATTCTTTAAATAATAATATTTTTACTTAAATTCTAATTATATTATAATTTAAGTAAATAAATATTTTTTTAAAATTTTTATATATAATAATTTTTAATTATACTTCTTTTATTAATAATAATATTTTAATAATAAATATAATTTTAATTAAAAAAACTTGAAATTATAAAACTAAAAAAAAATACATAATAATATTTTATATTTTATATATATTTATAATAAGATTATTAAGAATTTTAATTATCTTTTTTAATAAATTAATTTTTATATTTTTATTATTTAATATTATTCATCTATCAAATAATTTTAAAATAAATATTATATTAATATTATATTGTTACCATAGTAGCATAAAAATCCTTAATTTCTTAATCTTTTCGTGATTATAAAAAATCACATTTTCTTATAACTTTTATATTTTATAATT